TTCTATTGCGATCATCACTTTGAGCTAGAGGGGGCCCTTTTTAAAGAGCCTGAGCTCAAGGAAGAGGGGTTTTGTCATTTTTAAAAGATGTGTGCAAAACCAGATTGCCTTGAATTTTACTTGTCAATGCAATATTCCCTTTTTGATGTTACTCTATTGGAAAGTGATGAAGAGGGTAAACATGCAAATTTCACTGGTGATAACAAAAGGAGGATGATCTTAGAATCATGCCAGAGACTTACTCCTTTAATTTCTCTAGTGTTTGTATTTTTAAAAACATGGAATAGGTGGTGTATCTTCAAATGCACATCTTCAACCTTAATTTGAAAGTCTTTGGAAAGGCTCAGAGAACTAAGCCAATTAGGAATGCAGGGTTACTGCTGTTGCCAGTGCTCTTGCAGTGATACCCAAAATCATAAGATGCTCTCACAGTGCCATAGCATTAGTTAGACTGACCAACAATATGCTCTTGGTTTCCAACAATATGCTCTTGGTTTCTGTAAAATATTCAGGCTAAAAGTCCCAAAGGAAGCACTCTCAGATTTAAAAAATGTATCTATCTAATGCGGTTGGGTAATTTGAAGTTATAGAAGCGTAGACTTTCTACCCAGAGGTAAATCATCCTGGACTCTGTCATGAGGTATGGAACAAGAGGACTTGGCAATTTGTTCTCTCTGCAGAAGCTGACATCAATGTCATCTTGGCATAGGCTTATTAAAAAATACTAAAACTCTAACACTTGGTACAATTGATGAGCTTTTTAAAAATTATTTTTAACCACAATAGGTACTGAAGTTGAGGCAAAATATCAATACATTGCAGGAGCAGAGCAGCCGTAAGTAATGGGCAGTGCAATCTCAGCCTTTTGACAAGGATATCAAATAACATCAGCATTTTCTCCTGAAACAATATCATTTTCAAATCCAACTTTTTCACCAATTAGCCCCATGTTCCAGGAACTGCCAAAAAACATTTGGTGGTGACACAGAAGGCATCATAACACTGTCATCAGGGGGGCAATGATGAAGGACAAATTCATCCACACGTTCCTCTTTATAATATGTATCTAATAAATCCCCCAATGCTGGCTAGAGGAAATATTAAGCACCCCAAAGAAAGATCAGAGCTGTCTCTTGAGGTCATTTAAGTGAAGGACAATTGGCAGTATGTCTCTCTGATGACTTCTTTAACGATGTTGCTACTATATAAAGGGCTTGTATCACTTCATACCAAGATACAGGTAAAGCCAAAGATGAAGGCTCCTAGCGCTCTCAGAATAAGGAGAACAGCTGAAGTACATAGCCTGAAAGAGGTCTGTCTGATTCTAAAAACCCCAGAATAAGGATAATAATAAGTATGCATCCGATGAAGTGAGCTGTAGCTCACGAAAGCTTATGCTCAAATAAATTGGTTAGTCTCTAAGGTGCCACAAGTACTCCTTTTCTTTTTGCGAATACAGACTAACACGGCTGTTACTCTGAAACCAGAATAAGGATGAAATTCACCTCAGTTGGGACCTGAGCCAAGCTTAAAGATGACACTTCAGAACCAAAGGAACATCTCTCTTAGATAAAGGAGGCTAGTGACAGACAACACTGGCTGTCAGGTCTAGTGAAACACTTTATTCTCCAGAACAGACTAAAGCAGGAGCGCCCTCTCAGAAGCTCAAGTGAGAGAGTCACAAAGGCACTAAGAGTCAAGGTTTCACCTGGACAGCCTATAAGAGCTGAGGCATCTGTTGTCAGAACAGAGGCATTAGGCACTCAAACTTATTAGGCATTTCACAACGTAGAATAATAGAATCATAGAATATCAGAGTTGGAAGAGACCTCAGGAGGTCATCTAGTCCAACCCCCTGCTCAAAGCAGGACCAACCCCAACTAAATCATCCCAGCCAGGGCTTTGTCAAGCCAGACCTTAAAAAGCTCTAAGGATGCAGAGATTCCACCACCTCACTAGGTAACCCATTCCAGTGCTTCACCACCCTCCTAGTGAAATAGTGTTTCCTAATATCCAACCTAGAGGCCCCCCACTGCAACTTGAGACCATTGCTCCTTGTTCTGTCATCTGCCACCACTGAGAACAGCCGAGCTCCATCCTCTTTGGAACCCCCCTTCAGGTATCAAATCCCCCCTCACTCTTCTCTTCTGCAGACTAAATAAGCCCAGTTCCCTCAGTCTCTCCTCATAAGTCATGTGCCCCAGACCTCTAATCATTTTTGTTGCCCTCCACTGGACTCTTTCCAATTTGTCCACATCCTTTCTGTAGTGGAGGGCTCAAAAGTGGATGCAATACTCCGAATGTGGCCTCACCAGTGCCAAATAGAGGAGAATAATCACTTCCCTAGATCTGCTGGCAATGCTCCTACTAATGCAGCCCAATATACTGTTAGCCTTCTTGGCAACAAGGGCACACTGTTGACTCATATCCAGCTTCTTGTCCACTGTAATCCCCACTGTAAACTTCTGACTTTCATATCCAAGGACTCATTCAACTCTGACTTTCAGCTGGATCAATAAACTTCAAATGCTTCATAGCTTACACTGTTCTCAAGGAAAAGATGTCAGCACCTCAATATCAACCAGCTCCACCTATGCCAAGTCTCTGGCTCTAGGAATGCTTGGAACTGACCAATTTGCAAGACCTGATTTAAGAATCTTGGTCTTTGTCTAGATTAGGAAAAGAAGTTGAGATTAAATTGGGGTTAGCCACCACATTAGTACACAACGTGCATTACTTACTTACTTATTAACTGTCACTGTAGGAAACATGATAGGAGAAGTGAATGATGACCCTATCAAAATAAATATTTGCAACTGGCAGAACAAGTAATGGACAAACCAACATTTACAAAAGAAAACCTGAACAACAAGAGCAAGAAGAGAGCACAGATCTACATCAGCACCATTTTGCTAATTTTAAAAAAGTATAAGCAATCCAAAAAAGAAAAGAACAAGCATGCAACCTCCTGCTCTTGCCAACACAATACATTTGTTGTGAGTCAACAGAACAACAGGGGAATTTGGACGTTTAAAAATACCCTTAATTTTAAATTTTAGAATACCCTCATTTTATATACAGAAGCATAGCTGCTATATGAAATAAATAACTTCCTGTGGTGGGATCAACCAACTGCTTAAAATAAGGTTCTATGAAAAAAAATGGATTATTGGAATATATAGTTATTTTTAGATGTAGTATTAGTTTATGGCATGCCTTCAAAAGTGTTTTACAGTAGTGTGGTACTATACACCATGTAAGCTTATAAATAGATCCTTGGAGCACATCCAAGTTTCTTATTAGTAAACCTTATTGCAACTATGTTGGTTCTACTTAACACCCAATTAAGAGAGTTTATTAAAACCATCTGTCTTCATATACTATAATTATTTAAGATGATGTAATTAACAAACATATAACAAATTATAATTCAATATAATTTCAAATGTTTACATATCTAGACATAGCATTTGATGTTGTTCTTCATTAACTATTACGCAGACTGCCTCAGTTTTAGGGGATAGCAAAACCAGAAAAGCTAGCAACTTTTGAATAAAAATTTCCAAGTATAATATTTCTGGACATCTGCCTTACAGAAAAGGTGAACACAAAGACCATGAAGCACAATTTTTGACACTTAACCTTAATATACTTTAATATACTTCCAAGTTCCAATCATAAAAAATAATGCTTGTCTTCTTTATTCTCAATTTTATTCTTTTGGGAGAATCCATCTATTTATATTTTAGCAATAATAAAAATTTAATGGGCACTACTGTTACCCAATTTGGCCCAACATCAAAGTTTTGTAAAAACTAGCTTAACACAATATACAAACATAAAAATTCCTCTGCCATGTTCATAATGCAAATATTGCTGCATTCAGTTGAAGTATTAAAAAAAAAAAAAGAAGAAGAAAGAATTTGAGCAGAAACCAGACCATAAACTGAAGTGGAACTAACTAGTCTAATTGCCCCCCGCCGCCGTCCATTTCTGTCACCTGGAAATAAACAGCAAATATGAGCAAAATAAACCATATTTTAAAATTCTTCCAATTTGAATAATACAAGTTATCTGAAACCTTCTTAAGGAAATCTGTTGTGTTATATTAACATGATAGGCTTCAGAGTAACAGCCGTGTTAGTCTGTATTCTCAAAAAGAAAAGGAGTACTTGTGGCACCTTAGAGACTAACCAATTTATTTGAGCATAAGCTTTCGTGAGCTACAGCTCATTTCATCGGATGCATCCGATGAAGTGAGCTGTAGCTCACAAAAGCTTATGCTCAAATAAATTGGTTAGTCTCTAAGGTGCCACAAGTACTCCTTTTCTTATTAACATGATAGAATCCCCTCAAGCAAACAATGAAATGTCAAATCCCTTTCAAATATACTATATTACACACTACCGAGCACCAAACAAATCTAGGACACAGAGGAAGTGTTTACACATAATAGAAGTGTAGCCAGAAGTAATTTTGCTACACATTAATATAGCATATCATGCCCTCTAGTGGAAAAAACAAAAAAATGTTGTGTGCAAACCTAGCTACTATAATGTAAACTCTTTATTGAATCAAAGTTGTCCAGAGCTTCCAGCATCCCTTAAACTTTCCCTAGGCTTCCAATGTTTCTGAATCACCAGCACATTTTCATAATCTATAATATTTCTTTGCTGATTCCAGTTCTTAATAACTCCAGCATTGTTTTCTCTTGCCAAATAAGTTAAAGGGCTTGATTAAAAAAATTCTACAATCTTTGTCTATTCTACAACCCACACTTCCTTTTTCTTAATGCTTTTCTTCCTTCTTACCCCCAAGTTTTATCACAAATATCCTTGATTTAGTATCCTACTGTATTTTCTTGAAAGCAATAAACTGGAAAGTAGTTCAAAGTCACATTCTGGTACAACTTATGTGGAAACCATTTTGATGCTTTAAGAGACTTAGACTTTGCTACTGGCAGTGCACAGTTAAAAACAGTTTCATAATTTCAAAATTACCTTAACAAAATCTCTATCAGTTTTCTCCTTCCATTCGTCTCCAAATACAGTAGAAAATGATCCTAAAGCTTTAAGCATAAAAAAAACCATTAGTAAAAATGAGCTGAACATTTTCATTTGATTTTCTACCAATTGACAATGGAAATAAAGATTCAACAATACTATAGACCACTCAGAAGTTTTCTTTTTTCTTAGAGTAATTTTGCAGTAAGATGTAGTAAACCACTGTAATTGCTGTTGCAAAACACTCAACTGACTGCTGTTGCAGTAGTACAGTTTATTAAGGCACAAGAAAATATTTGAATGGTCTAAACTTTGTGTACCCTTGCCTTGTACCTTAAAGAGTCATGACATGCTTTTCTAGAATTTTTTTGACAAAAGTATGAAGTGGTTTCTTAGTTTTAAATCTCATGTCAGCAACTAGTTTTTGCTTGTACATGGTTAAGAGTAAAGATGTTCCCAGCTGTTTAGCATGCTACCTAGGCAAAACTTCTCTTGAAGCTTTCAAGAAGCCAACACAATGGCTAGACAACACTACCACTTACTAAAATATTAGTATTTTGTATGGAAGCTTTATGGTAATTCCTGGCTGCTTTGTGGGAACAAGCAAGTAATATTACATCAAACTTTCTGGCCTATCACTCCTTGAAAGCAGCAAAGAGTAGTTCACAGGATTTCCCTTGACAGGAAAATAACTGTTTTGCATCTTGGAAGTCTGCGATTAGTGTCAATATGAAGCTGTATAAAACAGTATTTGGTTCACAGTATATTTTTATTGTAAAAAATTGTTACAATTTTCAGCTGAAAATTATGAAGCAGCATTTGACATCTTATAGAATCCAAGACCAAGGCTTCTACAGCATTTGGCATGCAAGGCCTAATTAAATATTTTGAGGATACAAACAAGTTCTTTAAAACAATCCTACTGATAAGATGGGAAACAAGGTTTTGTATTCCCATCATGTTCTTAGGTTACATAACAGAACTTAAACTTGAAATGAAACACTAATGTTAAAAAACTGAGACAGTACTCCTGAAAGAGAAAGGCTGTCCTAACACATGCAAGATAAGAGTTATCTCAAACTTTTAAACTGGAATAAATCCTAAGAGGTTAACAAAATTGAAAAAATATAACTAGAAATGTTACATCACAAAAAAGAGAATTAACACAATTCACAAACTATGATGAAAACTATATATATGCTTAAATATTACTCTGATTAATAATAAACCTTTATTAATAATAAATAATAGAGACACGAAATCTTCCAAAACCTCATAACTTTAGATAAAATTCACCAGCTATCACTTATTCACACTGGAAATTGTTGTCACAAAATTAAAATTAAAATATTTGTACAGAAATTTTAAATAGTTACAAACTTCTCATATTCAATCACTAAATCTAACAAATTCACCATTATTGTGCTGTGATAGTGCACAAATGCCACATTCAGGCTTTGAGCCCCATTTTTCAAGGTGCTGTAAAAACACACACAAAAACCAGTATCTTTGGACCAATGTGTTTACAATCTAAAATGACAAAAAGATATGCAGACTTAAAATGATTCTTCAGAAATACCAAAATATTCCATCTCTGATCTGTCAGTGAGTAACAGAATACAGGATGGACAGCAGAAGCAGATACCTTTGTCTCAGGTGATCTGCATTAAGAGAGTTAGAACCTGAACAGATTTGGTAATGGCCAGTTGCAACAACTCGAGAAAATAAGTATTCCCTCACTACTTGGGTAAGGAAATAGGACACATCTGTCTTTTGCATTGATCGGAATGCTGCTGGATGTATTAGATGTACAGTAGGTGAAAGTAAAATGCTAGTGGAAGAACAGAATATGTCTATTACAAATTTGCCTCTCTCCAGTCCCAAAGATTATTCATTTGCTATTGGTAGCGATGGCCTAGAACTTTACCTCAAATACTTCTCAGCTGAGAAAGACCATAACAGAAAGAACAGCTAGTACAGGACACCTATGAAACAACCATATGTAAACACAGGTTTGACCTTCAAAAGTTAACAATGGAGGACTAGCCCTGAGTGTCCAAGAAGGTATGAAACAAAAGAACATTCAAACCTTGCTGAAGCACCTTTCTCATTTCTGTAAAAGCTACTTTGAAGAAGGAATTGTCCTGACTCTCAGCAGAGTGACCATTCAGATTCAGAATCTAAGGATGGGCCTCTGGGAAGGACTAATTAGGGGACTAAAATTAACTTTAACAACTCTTTAAACATTCCTTCCACTTGGGAGTCCTTGTGACTGGCCCAGATGCAGACAATGTATTGGTCTGGTCAAATGTGAGGGACATCCTATTAAGAAAAAACACAATAAAAGGACAGGCACACAAACCAAAAAATCAGAAAGAGAAATTAGACCACCACTAATATATTATTGACATGAAAAACTTTGTACATACTACAAATGATTAAGGAAATAAAAAAGTTTATAATATTTTAAAAAATGAGTATATAATGTGTCTCACATATACTCTTCCCCACAATTGAAGGAAAACAAGTAAAAAGATAGTAATTTTGATGCACTATTTTGCAAGAATATGTACATGCATGCATGCGTGCGTGCGCGTGCACACACACACACACACACACACACACACACACACACACAGTATCTATTATTAGGGGGATCCCAAAATATTATTTTGCTAAAGAATGCTCATTTGATGATTTATGTAGATAAAATTAACTTTGGAAAACATTACTATCTCTTGTTAGAGAAGCTTTGTACAGAACAAAAATTAAAATAGTGAATGATTCCTTTTTTCTGTAAACTAGGAGTTACATTTTATCCTATTGTCATTCAGTGAGATTACAGGATGGTTTGATCATGTATTTGCTTACAAAAGGACATAAAGCAAAGAACAAGAAGGCCTACCAGCCAACACACTGGTCAATCTATCCAGGAGAAATAATTCAGTATTGAAATAGTTTTGTGAAATACAACTTCTTAAAATACTAAAAATGCAAGCAGGCCAATTAAATATTAGGAACTAAAATAAATCTTTTTGTATCAGAATACAAACTCAGTGTGTCATTTCTGAGATGCTTCTTTCTATTTTTAATATGTAATTTACATTAAAATGCACATCTTTTACAAATCTGCAAAGTCCTATGTATTCATCAGGAAAACAAACAACACACAAGTCCAGACATCATAGGCTAAATGAAAATCTAATGCTAAAAATGTACCACTTAACTCAAGTAATTTTAAAATACCACTGAAAACCCAATTCTTAAGTTTCACTAAATTAAACTGTTTAATGATAAAGTCTCTAAAACATATATATGTTCACTGAATAAAAAGGTAATTTCCATATTCAAAGCCTGATGTGAAGCACAAATTATGAAATAATTAAAAAAGAAAAAACTAAGTATCAAGTTAATTTCTCTTCAGTAAATTATTTAAAATTTACTATAAATGAAGAATGATGATTATTCAAAACTGAAAGAAGCTACAAAAATATATTTGCATCTTTTCTGCTCAGGTATTAAAAATGTTATATACAGTAAAAATAGAATTCAACTTAAAACTTACTGTCATCAAACACCCCAGCATTAGCGAGCAATAGAGTGATGATTTTAGGGTCCTTTTCAAGCTGCATGACATGCTTGCTTTCATTTGACAGAAGAGTGCACACATTAATAGCAAAGTCCACTTCATTTGGGAGTCCAGATAACAGTGAAAGCACCAATTTATTATAGTCATTCGGTGAATTAAAGTCCATAGACAGCCCATAGCTTTGACGAAGATAATCTAACCAAGACAAAAAAAAAAAAAAAAAGTAAGAACAATGTTTCTGAAGCCACAAAATGAATATTCTGGCTGACACAGTAAGTAAAATAATAATAATTCTCTTAATTTAAATAATTCATGGCATTAAATCAACTTTTCCAACATTTCATTTGTTTTTTCCATCTTCTTTTGGTCCAGAACATTGACTCCATTCCCATCGGTTGTGGATCTTGCCCGTTACTTATTCATTTCAGAATGAAACATTGCAATCTATGCTCTACTAGAGGAGAATCTTGAAAACCACTCAAACTTCAGCTAGGACAGAATGCAGTCCAATTATTTAGAGATACAACATTATTTATTTGTATTATCATAACACCTAAGACCCCAGGGCCTAACTGTACGAGGTGCTGGTGTACAATACAGAACAAAAAAAAAGACAGTCCTGGCCCCAAAGAGCTTACAATCTAAGTGGACTGTATTGGCATCAAATTTGTGCCTGTGTTCCAGTCAAGATTTGCATTTTGATCTGAAGAGCCCCATATGGTATGGATTCTCTGGCTACATTATGGACCACCTGGCTCCTCAAGTTGTAAGCCAGAAACTGAGATCAGAAGAACCCAGATTTAGACATCTGTGAGCTGCAGGGAGACCACTATTGGTGAAAACTCTGAAATTTGCTCCTTTACTTGGCCCAATAGATCCTGAGTTTGTTGATTTTCAAAGAATATCACTTCAAGGCCTATCTGTTTACCCAAACTCTGGAGGCACTGGGGTTATTTATGGATTTGGAGGTTTTCTTGTTTTTTGTTTTGTTTTTTGGGTAACAGGAGAAAATATTTTATGTTAGATAATGATTTGACTGACATAAAGTGTTGATGTTTTTTAATAACACTGTAAATGCATTTAAGGACTGTCCCAGTTAAAACATGGAAAATTAAAATAAATATCACAACAATCTTTCTCAAAAATGTAATTTACCTGACACACTGTGTTGCTGGTAATTGTAGGAAGATGGAATTGCACCTATAGGAAGTTGTGGCTTTGGATTGCCTGGTTGTACCTCATCATCATCCTCCCCAAAATGATGTACTTTCTCGTACTTTTCTAGATAGCTGAAATTAAGAAAGCAAAGATTTTTAATATTTACCAACTAACTCCCCTGTCCTCTAAGAGTTGAACTGCTGAAGGAAACAGCAGCAACTGTAGAAAAAGAGGTTTAGTGAAAGCAACAGTTAAACTGTGGTATATAATACAAAACCATGAATCAGACTGACAAAAGGTGATACAGCCAGACAAGTGGAATCATGATTTAGATAAGAAATTTGTTTATATTTGCCAATAATACTCGTTGGCTAAAAGTTATAGTGTAACTAGCCACCTTTTAACTAAGCCCATTTTGTTTTTCTGTGGATCAGTTTTTGCTTTTGTTACCCGACATATTTTTGTATGTGCTTTTATTACCTGCAGGTAGAAGTAATTACAAATTACTACAAGAAATGTCATCAGAAATATTTTGCATAGTTTACCATTAGAAGCATAATATGCAGAAGAGTAGGCAACATAGACATAATCAACAGGCTACATGCATCCAATGAAGTGAGCTGTAGCTCACGAAAGCTTATGCTCAAATAAATTTGTTAGTCTCTAAGGTGCCACAAGTCCGCCGTTTCTTTTTGAAGTTAAAAGTAGTGGTTCCTAAAGAAAATACTAAATACAACATGTGGACGCTGAAAATGCTAAGACTCAGTAGCAACCTAAATGACACTATCGGAACTCCGTTAGAATCTCTCATGCAGTAATGCAGACAGAATGTGATAATTTATGAGGTGACAGGCTATGTCAAAAGGGATAGGAAAACAGAAACCATATACACTAATGGCTGGATACATCAAACTGGTGGTAACAAGGCACACTGTTAATGTGTACCTTATTATGTACAATAACTCCTTGCTTAACATTGTAGTTATGTTCTTGAAAAATGCGACTTCAAGCGAAACTATGTTAAGCGAATCTAATTTCCCCATAAGAATTAATGTAAATAGGGGAAGGTGTTAGGTTCCAGGGAAATTTTTTTCTCCAGATAAAAGACATTAAAAAAGCATTTTCATAAAGAGACAGTAGGATTTGTGTGTTTGATGGGAAGAGGCAGTAGGGAGGGGGATTTGGAGCTTTGGGGAAGGAGTGGAGTGGGGGGTGGGCCTGGAGCTGAGCCAGGGGTTGAACACCCCCCAAGCATTTTGGAAAGAACAGCAAGAGGAGCAGCCAGACTATCCACCCTCTTTCTCCCTCTGACTCCAAAACCTCAACCAAGCTTCACAATCATCATCGCTGAGTACAGTATTAAATTGTTTGTTTAAAATTTGCGGGTACCTAAAAAATTTAGAATGGAGGTGTGGACCCCTTTGGAAATTCAACCTGTCATTTGCAAACCCCTGCCACAGAAGTCTTAGACTGAAAACTGACTGAACAGAATCAGCTATAAATGTTGCACATGCTCGGCACAGCATTTGACACAGCGAGAGTAAGGGCGCTAAACTGTGGGCTTCTACAGTAATGACAACACTTCTGAGTTTTGACCTGCAGGTGGGGGTATGCAAATACTTTTGATTGATGAGAAAAACTGAATGCCTTTTCTGGGATCTGAAACTTTATTTTCATAAAAAGAAAAGGAGTACTTGTGGCACCTTAGAGACTAACCAATTTATATGAGCATGAGCTTTCGTGAGCTACAGCTCACGTCTTTATTTTCATAGTCACTTTTCATGGACCCCTGAGACAGTCTGCGGACCAGATGAAAACCACTGGCCTAATTTTAAGCGTGAGACTATTTTCATTGACTTTAATGGGACTACTCCCATGCTTAGAATTAGAACGATGCTTAAATTCCTTGCCAAACCAGAGCCTAAAAGTCGTAAACATATCTTTAAATTTCAACCAAATATAATTTTGATAATAAAAAGCTTTATTAAAGGTTGAAATTAATCTCATAAGAGGAAGAAAATTAAGAGTTAAAAAGGGCTGTGAGTAGGTGTTGCATAAAACAATTATGATTAATCAGATGTACAGTACTTTGAACACATAAAGCACTATGTAAATGATAAGTATTATTAGATGACCCACTGCTGGGAAACCATCTTTATTACATAGGCTCCATATGGCAAGTTAAGGACCTAGCAGAAATCTTAACTATAACACTTTGCTTTTGCTGATTAGAATAAATTTATATTTAAATACAGTTGCTTCTATATTTCTTCAAAATAACGATCCTCACTGATGCTATTTACCTTTTCATTTAATGTCTTAAAAAGAGCAGACCCCCCAAATTAGGAGTAAACTGAATTTTCTTTCCACTTTACGTCAAATGTTAACATTTCCCTTCCCACAATCTTTAGGACTTAAATGTTCAGTTCTTCCCTTTCAGCTCATTTTCCTTCCGCTTCTGACTTCTTTCCCTCCCCTTGAGCCTTTTAATCAAAATATCAACCAAATACTATTTATAGCTTACATATGTCAAGAGGTGCTTTTTAGCATGTGCATTTTCAACAACGTGGCTCTGAGCAAAATGAAAAAATGACTGCAGCTCCTTTTTAAATAACTTCACTCTTTGCTGGAGTGATGGGACATTTAAAAAGACTAATACTTTACAAAAATCCACACAATTACATACTTTTTCAGTATTTCTTTTGGTGAAATACAATAAAAGGAAAGGAGATGCAACACAATAGAAGCTTTACTTTTCTTTATGATCAGCCACCATCAAAGTTCATTACTCTAATCACTTCCATTCCCTAGCAATGAGTTGTTATGCATTCTATACTGAATGTTGCATCGCTGGATGCATCAGGCAGGAAGAACACAAAGATTAGAAGCGATTTTTTTGTATTCCAAGGCCTTGTTCAATTTACAACTTTTAAACAATTTTCTGGTAATCTTTTTTAAATGGTTAATGCATTTTTTAAAGAGAATGTAACAACCAAGTCAAAGAACCATGTGCAAACCCTGCACAAGAGGTAGCCTTGAACAACACGTGGGATCAAATGGTCTAAAAGTAGTGGGGAGAGATGTACTGAATAACTATGCAAATTGGTTTTCCAGTAATACAAAAATTAACAGCATGGCATCAATAAATGAATGCAAAATGGTTACTTCTAAATAAACAGTGAGATTTGGTACGTTCATTGCCGAGTATACATGGCTAAAAAAGAGCACAAAGCTGTAGTTGAATGGTTGACTTCAGACTGGCAGACAGGAAACAGTGTGACGAATCATGGGATACTTGTCCCATAATTCCACACATTCCAAAATATATCTGAACTGGTTTTCCAGAGGAACTATTTAAATTCTCTAACATGGCTTTAAAACAAGGCTTGAGATGAATTAGATCAAGCATTAACTTCCAAATGTGAAAGCTAGGAATTCATGCTTTCATATGATCTGAAAAAAAACCCTCATCTTTCCAGTCATATAAAGCATTCATTTCTAGCTCTGGGGTTTTGCAAGATATGTAAACTAAGATCATGTTCTGACTACCATCTTCTTTGAATCCAGAAATGATTTAGTGACCTCTAGCTGAAGAACCATTGGAGTTAGACACCAGTGCTTTATTTCATCTCCCATTGTAAATTCCCAGGTTTCTGAGTTAGACATTAGTATTTTATATTCAGATTAGGGCTGTCAAGATTAAAAAAAATTAATTATGATTAATCGCACTGTTAAACAATAATAGAATACAATTTATTTAAATATTTTTGGATGTTTACTACATTTTCAAATATATTAATTTCAATTACAACACAGAATACAAAAAGTGTACAGTGCTCACTTTATATTACAAATATTTGCACTGTAAAAAACAAAAAAATTGTATTTTTCAATTCATCTCAACAAGTATTATAGTGCAATCTCTTTATCATGAAAGTTGAACTTACAAATGTAGAATTATGTAAAAAAAACCCAGCATTTAAAAATAAAACAAATGTAAAACTTTAGAGCCTACAAATCCACTCAGTCCTACCTCTTGGTCAGCCAGTCACTCAGACAAACAAGGTTGGTTTCAATTTGCAGAAGATAATGCTGCCTGCTTCTTGTTTCCAATGTCACCTGAAAGTGAGAACAGGCATTCGCATGGCACTGTTGTGGCCAGCGTTGCAAGACATTTACGTGACAGAGGCGTTAAAGATTCATATGTCCCTTCATGCTTCAACCACCCTTCCAGAGGACATGAGTCCATGATGATGATGTGTTCTGCTTGATAACAATCCAAAGCAGTGCGGACCGATGCATGTTCATTTTCATCCTCCGAGTATGATGTCACCAGCAGAAGGTTGATTTTCTTTTTTGGTGTTCGGGTTCTGTAGTTTCCGCATCAAAGTGTTGCTCTTTTAAGACTTCTGAACACATGCTCCACACCTTGTCCCTCTCAAATTTTGGAAGGCACTTCAGATTCTTAAATCTTGAGTCGAGTGCTGTAGCTATCTTTAGAAATCTCACATCGGTACCCTCTTTGCGTTTTGTCAAATCTGCAGTGAAAGTGTTCTTAAAATGAACAACATGTGCTGAGTCATCATCCGAGACTACTATAACATGAAATATATGGAAGAAGGCGGGTTCAACAAAGCCGGAGACATACAATTCTCCCCCAAGGAATTCAGTCACAAATTTAATTAATACATTTTTTTTTTAATGAGCGTCGTCAGCATGGAAGCATGTCCTCTAGAATGGTGGCTGAAGCATGAAGGGGCATAGGAATGTTTAGCATATCTGGCACGTTAATACCTTGAAATGCTGGCTACAAAAGTGCCATGCTAACACCTGTTCTCACTTTCTGATGACATAAATAAGAAGTGGGCAGCATTATTTACCATAAATGTAAACAAACTTGTTTGTCTTAGTGATTGGCCGAACAAGAAGTAGGACTGAGTGGACTTGTAGGCAATAAAGTTTTGCATTTTTTTGTTTTTGAATGCAGTAATTGCAGTTATATAACAAAAAAAAAAGTCTACATTTGTAAATTGCACTTTCACAATAAAGTATTTCACTACAGTACTTATATGAGGTGAATTGAACAATACTATTTCTTTTGTTTATCATTTTTACAGTGCAAATATTTGTA